ACCCGAGCTAACATGGGGTTAGCTCGTTAAATTACAATAAAGCCTCATGCAGTTTGCAGCAAGCTCTCGAATCCGCCTGGTGATTGGGGTGACCGAGGTCGTGGCCTGGGACCCTGGATACCTGAGTTTTCCAGGGGTCTAACAGAAGGAAGGAAAAAAGAAAGGAAGACTGAAATAAATACTAGGATTAGAACCCTAAAGTATCAGCACCCCAGACTGATAGCTGGGAAACCAGCATAGGACTGTTCCAGACCCCCTGAATGAGGAGGTCAGTCTGGAGGTCTGAACATTCTATGGGGTCACTGGTAGAGTGGATCAGTATTTACCCCTAGTACACAAATTTTGGAATCTCACTCCACCTAGAGGGATACTCTCTCAGCCTAGACACACGGGGAGGGTCTAGGCCCTGCTCCAAATGATATGACAGACTCTGAAGATCATCCATGGAAGACCTCACCCTCCCTGGGGAGCAGAAAGGGGTTGGGATGGGGCCAGTGGGGGGTAGGGGAAGAGGGGAGGGAGAGGGAAGTGGGATTGACATGTAAAAGAAGCTTGTTTCTAATTTTAAGAAAAACAACAACAACAACAACAACAACAACAACAACAAAAGAACCCTAAAGGACAAACTGTATTCACTATCCAGTCCCACTCCAAGACTAGTGACTGTGTCACCCAGCGAGCCCCTCCCTCACAGGCTTTCTTGTTCACTTCCTAAGAGGCTCCTCCTCCCTCCCGGTCTCCACTCAGGGCACCTCACCGGTATCCCTCCACTCCACAATGCTCCTTATGCAGGGAACACACATGAATGTCCTTCCCAGCCACTGAGGGCCTCAAGAGTCTCAAGAGTAACAAGCAACTGACCTGTGTCTTCAAACAGGGACAAAAGGGAAGGTACATGACGGCTTTATGAGTTTATGACAAGATTCCAGAGGTTATTAGACAGACGGCTCATGGATGCTAGGAAGATAGGCAATTGTCATAGGGTCCCCAGCACAGGCTCATCTTTCCGGAGCAGAACCCAAGCCCTTGAGAATATCAAGTTCACACCTTTTCACTGAGCTACACTGCTATCTGCCCCTACTCCCAGAGTTGGAAATAAAATGGCCAATTTAATGAGAAACTACAAATTGAGATCAAGGCCGGGCATTGGTGGTGCCCATCTTTAATCCCAGCACTCGAGAGGCAGAGGCAGGCAGATCTCTGTGAGTTTGAGCCGAGCCTGGTCTCCAGGGCGAGTTCCAGGACAGCCTCCAAAGCCACAGAGAAACCCTGTCTCAAAAAACAAAACTAAAAACTAAAAACAAAACAAAACAAACAAACAAATAAAAACCCCCAAATTGAGATCAAGATACACTCAGTGATGGGCACTAGTTCTTTGGTAGTTGGAGAGCAGGAGAGGGGACAGAAGAGGACACAGCATCCACAGGGACAAATCAATAAACAAGCCATTCAAGCCTGAGAAGGAAGTTAGGGCTTGCACCCCAGGCATTGCTCCTGGGCTGTTCTTTTTGCTCCACACCCCAGTGCCACATGGAGTGCCTCAATGTGGGAGTGGGCATGTAGTCCTTCTGTTAAAAAATTTATTTTGGGGGCTGGAGAGATGGCTCAGTGGTTGGGAGCATTGATTGCTCTTCCACTGGACCTGGGTTCAATTACCAGCACCCATATGGCAGCTCACAACTGTCTGTAACTCCAGTTCCAGGGGATCTGACACTCTAACACCGGCATACAAGCAAGCAAAACACCAATAAAATCAATAAAAACCATTAATTAATTAAAAAAGAACCACCAAGATAAACCAGTGACATTAGGTGGAGTTTGAACTGATAGCCAGGGAGCCTGCATGAGACTGACCTAGGCACTCTGCATATATGTTACAGTTGTGTAGATTGGCCCTCTTATGGGACTCCTAAAAGCAGGAACAGGGGCTGTCTTACTCTTTTACTGGCTTTTGGGACCCTACTTCTCATTCTGGGTCACCTTGCCCAGCCTTAATACACGGGGAGGTGCTTAGTCTTATTGAAACTTGATATGCCACGTTTTATTGATACTCCCAGGAGACTTGGCCTTTCCTGGATGGAGATGGAAAAGGAGGGGATTAGGTGTGGGAGGAGGAAATGAGGGAGAGGCGCTGGGAGGGTAGGATGGGGGGAGACTTCAGCCAGGAGGTAAAATAAATAAATGAATAAAGAAAAATTACTTTTGAAGCAGGCAGTGAAATCTCTAAAGTAGCTGAGGATGACTTTGAACTTCTTGATCCTCCTGCCTCCACCTGCTGAGATTATAGGCATGCATCACCACACCTTTTACTTCTAGATTTTTTTTTCTGTATGTGGGTGTTTTAACTGCATGTATGTCTGTGTACCACAGGCATGCCTGGTATCCTCAGAGGTCAGAGAAGGGAGTCTGATCCCTTGCGGCTGGTATTACAGATGGTTGTGACCCACCAAGTGGGTGCTGGAATCGAACCCAGGTCCTCTGGAAGAGCAGTCAGTGCTCTTAGCTGCTGAGT